TGTATAGAATATATATGTGTGTGTGTGTATTTGTACATACATACATGCATACATACTTCCATCCATTTATACATACATATATACATACATACATATATAAGTACATACATACATACATACATACATATGTATATATATACTAATATATATATATATATATATATATATATATATGAATGTATGTATATAAATATATACATTATATATATATATATATACATACATATATTAATACATAACTACATACATACACACATGCCTTCATATATACCTACATATATAAATGTATGCATGCATACATTCATGCATACATAGATGCATACAAACATACATGCATGCATACATACACTTACATATATGTATGCATACATACATGCATCCTTCTATGCATACATACTTACATACATACATTCATGCATACATATATGCATACATACATGCATGCATACGCATACATATATACACACAAGCATTTACATACATGCATACATACATACATACATATATACATACAAACATACACGCGTGCATACATACATACATATATACATGCATGCATACAAACATACATGCATGCATACATACATACATGCATGCATGCATGCATACACACATACACGCATGCATACATACATACATGCATACATACATACATGCATATATACAAATATACATACATAGATATACGCATGCATACATGAATACATACATATATGTATGCATATATATTTGTATGAATACATACATACATACATGCCTACATTCATACAAGCATGCATGCATACATACGTACATATATGCATACATACATACTTGAATGCATGCATACATACATACATACCTGCATACATACATACATACCTGCATACATACATACATACCTGCATGCATATATACACACATACATGCATACATACATGCATGTATACATACATCCATACATACATACATAAATGCATACATACATACATACATACATAAATGCATACATACATGCAAACATGAGTGCATACATACAACATACATGCATACACGCATACATAAATACATACACACATACATGAGTTTATCCATACATACCTGCATGCATACATACATACAACATGCATACATGAATACATACATACGTTATACATACATACATGCATACATGCGTTTTTACTTTCATGCGTGTATGCATACATACATGCATACATACATGCATACATGCATACATGCATGCATACATGCATGCATACATGCATGCATACATGCATGCATACATGCATGCATACATGCATGCATACATGCATGCATACATGCATGCATACATGCATGCATACATGCATACATTTATACATATATACCTGCATACAAACATACATGCGTGCATATAGTGATTTAGGGGAGGGGACCAGAGGGGCCAGACTATTAGTCTCCAGACGGCAGACCCCGACGGCCCGGCCCCCGCCCACGGCCCAGGCCCCAGGGCACCGTGCTTTGAAAGGAAAGGTACCAAGGTTTCTGGTCAAATTTATAATTTTCTGCTTAATCTGCTCAACAGACAACAGTCAACAGAGTAAATATTAATGAGTATTGTATCGACTCCCATTCCCACTCTTACATTCTCAACGATGATAAATTTATCAGCGCTGAGCGATAGTCCGATAAACCGATTGTTGATATTTTATATTTAGTCTTCATATTCTTCTCATACTTTTTGTCTTTTTCCCAGAACCAATACTAACTGTGATATTTGCTACAACGCTCTTTTTTGGGTATGTCTCGACTCTCGACTGTAGAATACAATTGTCAATAGTAGCAGAAGTATTTACTTGCTTATCTTTTGTAGAATTATCCTAAAATAGCAATATTGTTTTGAAATATATAATTCATTATGTGGACAATATTTATTTATTTATTTACTTGTACTTGATACATATATATTTTTGTATTGCTTTCTGTTTTACAAAAAAAAACCAATACATACCACGAATTCAAAAATCATATCACTGAATGTTTTACTCTGAAATAGCTGATTTTGTTGTGCACAGGGCAGAACTGCAGACTGCAGTGAGTGCACTCACTGGGGGGTCAAGTCACAAGAGTGTGCAGTAAGCACACGGCGCTGACTTCTGCAGCGTTGCACTACTTTTCACTTTTGGTAGAGTCTTGGAGAATCTGCAGTCTGACTCCGGCGTCTGCAACTCTGCAGTCTGCAGTCTGCAGTCTGCACTCTGCAGTTTTGCACTCCTCTGCGCTGAGTAGTGAGTACTCACCGTCACGTCTCACCATAGTCTAAAAGTCTAGACTCTAGCCTGCAAAACTCTCGGTCTATAAGTACATACATATGTTCTATACTACTATGTAGTCAGTATGTACTCTGTAGGACTCTGTGGCTTGTACTCTATAGACTGTTTAGTGTTCAGTGTTCACTGTACAAAATCTGGCACTATGGCTTGGTAGGAGGTGGTGACAGCGTTGCCATGTTCAACAGGTAAACAACTGTCGGATACTGTCGGATACTGTCGTGTCGTTAACCTCTACATAGTTTCCTGTTTCCGCTATGGCTTTTGTTCAGACCAGTACCTGAGAAATAAATGAAGACTTTGCATTGGTGCATATTCAAGGTCTAGTCGTTTCAGGCGACAGATTTTACCGACACCCTGTTTCCGTCAATGTCGCCCTGTGTCAGAAAGGTTAACTACAGCGGAAACATGGCGGAAATGCAAAATGTCATATCGTTTACCAAGTCAGCCTGTAGTCTAGAACTGTAGAGTGTAGACTGTAGAGTCACTTTGTATTTATTTACTGCTACATAGTAGAGAGAGAGAGAGGAGGAGAGAGTGTAGAGTTGTAACCTTGTAGGACTCCTGAAGTCCTCAGGGTTGGCATCGGACAATGATGCCAACCCCAACTAGAATGTTACACGACACGTCGTACATATCGTCTGATTATACATCAAGTGTCGATTGACGGCCCGACATGTCGCCGACATTGGTTCCCGCATTGGAGTTTCTCTCAAGGGACTGACGACTGTATTTAAATATATACGAAACTCATAGGTTCAGAACTCTTAACTGAGGTCTCATTGGCTGAGAAATTTTTGTATGAAGGACCATATGTCGGCAAAATGTTTTGGTTGGTAAACTACAATGTTGTTTTCCTTTACATGTTTGCTACTTTGTTCGGTATAAAAATTAATACATCGAATAATTTACTACATTTCGTAAACTATTGGTAGTGACCAATATTTCGGCTTCTCGATATTTGTTTTTGTTTTTTGGCGGTGAAACTCTCAACCCTTATTAACCCATGCAGACTGCAAAGTGCAAAGTGCAAACTGAATCGACTTAGAATTCAGCACCTATAAGGCGGCTATTAGACTATTAGTATGGAATAAGTATTTATTATAGCCGATGGTGTTCAACGAGTGTTCAATTAATATACGGAACACAAGAAGACATATATTAAAATACAAAAGGCAGACATAGTAAAACTAAATCACATAGGGTCAAGTGTCAAGTGAACTCTAACCGACAGTACTTTTATTAGTGTCATAGTGAGTCAGTCAGTACTGACTTAGTAACCGATACAGTACGTTAAGTACTCTAGACTGTACCAGATAGTCTATATAGGTATGTATACAACATGTATAGAACCTGTATATGTTTGAAACATGTTTTCAACCTCTTTACAACACCAATACTTTACTACATGGTTCTTTAATTTAACACATCAAATATTTTACTACATATTTTTTACTAATACCAGCTCAGGGCTAAAATTAGTACAGACGAAAAGTATTGTCGTTGACGGCGACGACATGGCTGAAAAAATGTCGTGCCGACACATCGTACATGACGTTTCTGTTTCGGCAAATGTCGGCGCCCCTTACATACCAACCCAGGAAGTCCTGTGAACTCCTGACTCCTGAGATTCTTTGTGAGGTCTGATAGTCTGAGTGACTAATACTGACTATGTAGCGACTCTTGAGCCTTGAGGCCCTGCTCCCTTATGTAGAGGCTTAGACTCGGAGAGTCAAGAGTCTGGCGCCCTGCCAGCAGCCAGCAGCCCTGCTTGCCTGCATATTTTGTTTTGTTTTGTATAAAAAAAAACAATACAAGTTTTAAATTTATATACATAAATACGTAAATACTAAACCATAGCCTTTGTTTTTTTAGATGGCTAAATATGTAAATAGTACATAATACATACAGTACTCGAGCAATTCTAGAAGGAATACTAAAAAAAACATCATATGCCTTCTGAAAAATAATATAAAAGAGTAAATAAATTATCTTTCTCACCAAAAAAAGTAAAAACAGTATTTATTTATTAGAATGTCTTTATACGGCACTGGTGACAATAAAATTTTTAACCACCTCAGGCCCAGTGTCCTACCAGTCTCATACTTGAACTTTTTCGAGTTATTTGCTTAAATATAGTGTATTTTAAAATGTATTTAACGTGATTTTAAGCACTTGTGAGATGTGTTTGTTTACTGCCGGTTTGTTTGTTATCTGTCGGCTGAAAGCGCTCGACTTAAATGTTAGACATTGTAGCGCGGATATAACCCATTTGTTGCACTTATGTTAGGTCCTTGTCGGTCTTAAGGGCTTGACATATGTTAACAGTTAGACACATGTATATAGGCGTCCTCTGTCTTAGCTATTGCTTCGGATTCGCCCATGGTTTTACAGTTGACACCATTCGTGAGAAAAAAATTATTATCCCTATTCGTGTCTAATATACATCGACCTCTCCTTTGAGGCCGACAAAGAATTAATACAACAATTGCAATAAATGGGCTAAAATCACGCCAATTACATCTTAAAAGCAAAGTAAACTCGAAAAAGTAGAAGTATGAGATTAGTAAGAAACTGGGCCTGAGGTGGTTAATAGTTTTATTGTCACCAGTGCCGTATAAAGACATTCTATTATAAAATATTTACATTCATAAATAATTAATAAAGTTATAAAAAACCAAAAAAAACACAATATATGTCCATAATGTTTTTAGGAAAAACAATAGCACCCTTTTAAATAAAACCCCCCCAATATTTTACTATATTTGTAGCAGGTCTGCAAAGGCAAATTTATACACATATTTCAATAGTAAATACAGGTTTCTCTAGTTTCCAGTGTTTCACTGTTTCTGTATCCACGATAAGAAGTCCATTGCATTTACCTACAAATACCACAACTCATTCAAAGTACGTTATATGTCTGTTGCTATTGATGTCCAGGTCTTCAGAACGGAATACTAATCCTCACAATACCATAATACTCGGTAAATAATGTGTTCCACGACCAGCGCCATGGTGTCCGGGGAGAATGCCCTAGTAGGTACTATTGTGACAACGTCTATATCATCCAGGCCTTCACCGCGACCTTCACCACCATGTGCCCGTCCGCGCCCGCCCAGTGAACAAGACAAGAAGTCTTCACTACAGGCAAGCCATATCAAAAGACGTTCTAGCAGCTATGTGCCGAGCAATGGCCCGGCTTCGAAGTCAGGACGGCCGGCACATATGATGCGCATAACTACAAATAGCGATGCTCAGAATATGGCAGGTGCTCGGCGAAACTCGGAAACACAAATCCCAGTGAGAAACTCTCGGAATACCCTGAACGCTCCATTACAAACGGTAAACACTCATCCTAGCAAGTCAACGGCATATCGTTCGGTATCTGAGGATCAATTCTTCAACGGAGTAAACGAATTCAGCGGTGTGCAGAGACGACCTAGGCGAAGATCTAACCGCAATGATATAAAACCTCCAACATACTCGTCAAGAAATCAACAACAACATACATTGTTGCGATCAATCAACACAGCAACATGTAACTCGCACAATAGCCCATCGCGATCTCATGTAAAGAGAATGCAATCTGACCTGAATGCAAGGAGATGTCCTGTGCATGGAACGCGAGTATTTAAAAAGACAGAAATGGTAACTGTTGGCAGTAGTATGAAAGGCTCAGGGACCAACTATTCGCTACCAAGTTCGAAAATTCTCGAACCGGTGGCGGAACCGCGGACATATACTTCAAAAATGCGATATCCATGCAACAATTCAATGTCGCTGGCCTTAAGAATCAAACAAGCCGAGACGACTGAGTTTGAACCGTTTGTTCACATTGTCACCACAAGTAAAAAAGAACCTCCGCCTAAAAGCTCCATTCCAAAATCCATCTTGAAAACATCTTCTGTCGTGGATGATTCTAGCGTGGTTGAATCGGACATGGAGAGTGTAATGAGAATGTGGGGTGATATCGAAATAAATGATGAGCTGAGCAAGGCTTCCTCTGCGGATACGACTTTATCATCCAAATTAAAACAGAGCGATGATGACTGCAGATTGGAAGTCGGTTTGACTGTGACTGAGTTTCTGTGCGAGGGAACAACAAAAGTGGATGATTTAGAAGGTAAGAATAGGATGACGTTGTTAGAGTTCCTATTTGAAAGCAAGGCTGGTATCCAGACGGTAGCTAAAAACGGCTGAAGCTTGATAAACTTGTCGAGGTTTATTGAAGAGATTAGTTGAGTGGTAATCAAGGACTGTTATGATGACTGTACAAGTTCATGTAATGTTAGTCTTAATTATATGTTTGAAAAATAAAGATATTCTAAACAACTCGACAGCCTATTTCTTATGTACGAAGATGAGTTTGAGGGAGACACGCACATGCACAATCTTTCTTATCTATTCGTATACACACACAAAAGTAGAATTACTGTCCAAATGCAATTGCACAATATATTTCATGTAAATTGGCAGGTGTAAAATTGTCACGTACAACAACAACACATGATATAACTTCACAATAAATGTAAAATTCACAAAGAAAAAATGTCATATTATATGTAAATATCAGTGTACACCAATGTACAAATTCTTCCATATTCATCAAAATCAATTGTTCCGCATTCATCAAGTCAAGATGAAACAGTTGCTATCTTTTTATGCTTATTTAGTACTTCTCTTGAATTGGGGAGCCATCAGAATGAACATATTGGTGACCCAAATCAACACAAAGTACGATGCTCACCTGCCTTTCTGAACGGATGTATACACATTAATTGTCAATCTTGTGTGCAGACAGCAAGTGAATGATATATAATCAAGTAACTTTAAGCCGGTTTCAGATGGTTGTATTTATGTCGGCAAAGTACTCGAACATGTTGAAGAAGTCGCGGCTATGCGTCCACTATTCAACAGAGTAGCAACATTATGCAACAATATAAATCTTTTCGCTGCTGCTACGCTAACAAAATACACGGAGATATCAACTATTCGTTGATCCAGCTGGAACAACGTTGTACTCGATTTATCATATGAAGTCAGCAAAGAGCATGAAATTTACTGTGGACGAGTCGAAAACGAGTATAAGGTATTTATGTAAAGTACAGTCTAAGAATACTAAGTAGTTCCGAACTGCGATGGAAAAGTGGAGGATTTTGATTCAGCTCGTCTCCCAAAGTCCCTGGGGACCCAGGCTCCCAATCTCCCATCAATCATAGACTTCATAGTCAGTGATCTCGATCGGTCAAGTTTTAATGTAAAAATGAATATATTTAAAAATATATCTTTCCAACGACCGAGTTGCTTGAAGCACATATGCGCCAAAGCTTAAGCCTTAGGATACTAGTGAGTTGATCAGTGATATACTCAAAAGTGACCGCAATTTGAAATAAAAGCACAGCAAGTGCCATCAGAAGACCCATAACCTTCACTATGGGTCGTTCACGGTCAAGGAAATCGAAGTCGCCACATTCTGAAAGTACGTGACACGACTATGACATGCACGTGTACGCGGACTCTAACGGTGAACATACACTTCGCTTGGATTTAGTTTGTAGTACTATCACACCCTCATATGTCCGTTCTATTACACAAACACACGTGTTTAAACATATATATATATACAAATATATATATATATATATATATATATATATATATATATATATATATATATATATATATATATATATATATATATATATATATATATAGTATAGTATATACTATAT